AGCAACCCTAGACTTCCTTGGTGGTCTCCCATCCACATATTAACCAGGGCCAAAGCTGCTTAGCTTCCAACGTCTGATGAGATGAGGCTAGCCCAGGCTATCCAGATCAGAGCCACTTTACATTTCAAATTAGCAAAGAAGTTGTTTACCTGTACATAAATTTGAGTTGAGAGTCCCAGCCTGTCATGGCTGTCCTGTATTAAAATACATAAGACATGTATTTTAAATATGCATTTTTTGCACACAAGAATTACAAGAAACACATATTAGAAAACAGGATGAAAAGCATCTGCAAATAAAAGGCCTTGGTAAAGCATTCTTATCTTCCGATGAAAAGAAAAAGAGGCGTTGTAATATATGTAAAAAAGTATCTTCAACCAGAACAAATTTATAATTCTAAAGATGGAAGAATTTTGATGGTTACAGTACAAAGACAAATAAAGAAAATGCTTATTGTTAACATCTATACTCCAAATCAGCACCAAGAAAATTTTTATAAGAAATTAAAAAATCTGATTACCCAACAAGACTTCCAGGAGATCTGCATTATAGGAGACTACAATTCAGTCTTTGACACAAAGGAAGACAGAAAAACTGACTCTGGTAAAAAGAAAAAAAGGAGGAAAAAGGAAGGAGGTAAAGAGTTTCCACCCTCCCTCTGTTGTCTTTTGGAAGAACTAAATTTGGTGGATGCTTGGAGAGTCAGAATTCCCTCCTCATGGCAATATACTTTTTTTCAGCAATACATGACTCCTGGTCCAGATTGGATATGTACTGGATATCCTCTACATTCATTAAGGATCTTTTAGAAGCTGAGATTGAAGCCGGAACATATGCAGATCATAAACCTATCTCTGTAGAGTTGCAAGCACAAAAACCTAGAAGCAGATGGACTATGAATACTTCTCTTTTGAAAAACCTTAAGTTTGTTAACAAAATGAGGGAAGAACTTAAAGCTTTTTTCAGGTTAAACCTGCAAAAAGAAACACCCTTAAAGGTAGTATGAGACACATGTAAGGCCTTTTCTAGAGGACTTCTGATTCAAGAATCTGCTAGAGTGAATAAACAGAGAAGACAGGAATATCTTGAGTTGCAAAAAGATATTCAGATCCAAGAAGGGAAGCTCATGATAGATTCCACAGTACAAGAGACGAAGTCTAAACTTAAGCTATTGCAACATAGAATGAACTGTTTATTATCACAAGAAATGGCCAAAAAAATATTATTTGCAAAGCAAAATTTCTTTGAAAATGTGAATAAACCAACGAGATGGCTTGCCTACAAGATTAGGAAACAAAAAGCCTTGAACAGAGGGGATGGATCAAAAACATGTACAATACAGGAAATGAAAGTCTTAGTAGAAAACTTTTCTAAAGAGCTATACAGTAAAGCGGAGGTTAATATGGAACAGATAAAAGAATATTTAAATACGCATCAACCGAAGAAATTTACAGAAAAATAAAGTGAAGGAAGCAGTCAGTGGTAGTTACAGGGCTTCTAAGCTTATTTTGCAGTTCTGTGAACTTTGTTATTTATGCAGTATCCTGCGTATATCCTCCTTTTTGTTTCCAGGCATGTGTGGATGTAAGAGCAAGTTCTGTATTTTGGCAGCAAATGGAATTGGCAGAGACAATTCAAGGAAACCCAAAGTTACCAGAGTGGCTTTCTACACACCCTTCTCATGAGAACCGAGCTGATCATTTGGACAGGCTTATACCAGAAGTAAGTGAAAACTGAGGACGGTTTTTGGCAGGCATAGGAAACCTTCTTTGCCCAAGTGCTGAAAAAGTGTAGCATTTACTTGTGAAGATGTTGAATGGTTTTGGAAGGGGATTAGTCAGACTGATGGAGGAAATTTATGTTGGAAGCTTTGAAAGACGCATAGGCTGGCGCTAACTTTGTAAAGATGATCCAGGCAATTTACACCAAAGAAAAGGCAGAGGTAACAATTAATGGGGAACAGACACAATATATTGAAATCCAAAAAGGGACAAGACAGGGATGTCCACTTTCCCCTCTGCTGATCATTTTCGCATTGGAGATACTTAATGACTCAATAAGAGGACAGAAAGAGATTAAGGGCCTGAAATTAAAAGGGGAAGAATATAAACTTTTGGCATTTGCTGATGATCTAGTATTTATACTGAAGAACCCACTGGATTCAATGTTTATCTTGAAACAAAAACTTGGAGACTATGAACTTGTAGCCAGCTTGAGAATAAATATCAACAAAACTAAAATAATGACTAAAAATATGGAAGAGGAGCGGGCAATTCAACTACAAGAAACCTCAAGTTTCCAGCTACAGAAGAAAATAAAATATATAGGAATTGTAATGACAAATAAATGCAGTTCATTACAAGAGAATAATTACAAAGAGCTACTGAGGAAGACAAAACAGGATGTAGAGAAATTGAAAGATCTACAGATATCTTTGATGGGACGTATTGCAACAATTAAAATGAATATACTTCCAAAATGGTTATTTTTATTTCAAACAATTCCCATTTTGCAAAACCAAAAAATCTTTAAGGAATTAGAACAAGCGATTTCAAAATTTATTTGGCAAGGCAAGAGGCCCAGAATAAGATTAAAAGCTCTTCAAGATGCAAAAGAAAGGGGGGGCTTTGGCCTACCTAACTGGAATCTGTATTATAGAGCAGCTGCATTAATGTGGATTAAAGACTGGGTCACATTGGAAGACGAGAGAATATTGAAATTGGAAGGTCATGACCTCTTGTTAGGTTGGCATGCCTTCTTATGGTATGGAAAGGCAAGTACACATAAATACTTTAAGCAACATTGGATACGGGCATCCCTAATGAAAGCTTGGGAAAATATATACAGGCATTTCTATACAAAAAATTAAAAACTGATTGTCCCACTAGAAGCTATTACACTCCCAAATGCTTACCAGGAAGAAATACAGAGAAGGTATCTGGATATATTGGACTCTGAGGAACGTTTGAAACCACTAGAAGATTTACCATGGTGGCAAAGAGCGCAAATAGAATCTAGATTTACCAAATATAAGAAAATTGGATTCTATAAAAACTTGTTAGAGATTGAAAAGATTATTATATCCGCGGACCTAAAGCTTATACGAAGACTTTATGTACTTTTACTTGATGATTTGTTGTTGGATGAGATAGTGAAAGGGAATATGATTCAATGGGTGCAGAATATAGGGCATAGTATTAACTTGGAGCAGTGGGACCAAATATGGAAGAAAAATATTAAGATCACTAAAGCTATTCCTTATAAAGAAAATGTTTATAAAATGTTTTATAGATGGTATGTAACACCTGAAAGGTTAGCTAAAATTGACTTAAAATGTTCTAATAAGTGTTGGAAACGTTAAAATAAGGTTGGCACATTTTACCATATGTGGTGGCATTGTGAAAAAACTAAGAAATATTGGGTAATGGTGCATGACGTTTTGCAAAAGGTGTTAGGTACGGGAGTGATATTTAAACCAGAGGTCTTATTGTTGAACATTTTACCTGAAAATTTCAACAAAGATGATCGCTATTTGATTGTATATTTAACTACAGCAGCCAGAATTCTTTACGCTAAATATTGGAAATCAACAGAGATACCAACAAAGCAAGAATTTATAAACAGTTTTGGAGGCAGCGGAATTGGATAAATTGACTTTATTGATAAAAGGTTTAACAGACTCTACATTCCAGAATACTTGGACATGGTTCTATAATTGGTATGATAATCACATGTAGGCAAGTTTATAATGGACAGACTATTCGTTGATTAGAAAGTATATACTCGATTGAGGTAGAGTTGGATGGTTACTCAACATAATATACAAGAATAGAGATTAAGGTGGATTAGGCATAAGCATGTTTGTTAAAAAGAATAATAACCCCCATATATGTGTGTATGTATGTTTATATGTTTATTTTGTGTTTGTGCAAAACATGAGAAAATTTCAATAAAATTCTGCATTTCGGGGCAGTTTACAATAATTGCATTTTAATGTATTTGCATAAAACATTTTAATGCAAAATGATGTAGGATTGTGGCATGATTGAGAGGTAATACCAAACCTCAATTTGATGCAACATGAAGAAGTCTTTTGTTCTTGTCACCTTCCCCACTTTTTTTGTCTATTCAGAATTATTTACTGATATCTGTTTTTAGCATAAATGCCGTTGCTTCTAACAGGCAAATTATTATTTGTGCTTTCCTTTCCCTGTGATCTGCAATCTTAAGATATTAAGAGGAAGGAGTAACTATAATGGCAAACTGTGGTTTGCACTAAATCAAAAATTATAAATTGACCCTGAGCATACAAAGTGGGGGAGGAAGAGCGAACATACAAGCATAGGGTGATCCTGTTGTCCTCCACTTCTTACGGAACTTCTTAGTGTTGATCATAATGCTTTATGGTTCAGATGTAATGCTAAACAATGGTTTTGTGCTACATGAGATCTTGTTCACATAACATCAAACCATAATGTGGCATTGCTTCTTAATGATGCCATTATATGGTGACCTTAGAGCAAGGTGATTGACAATTAAAAGGCTTTTGTGAAAAACAAAGAAATTAACTGGTCAGGAAGAGCATGAATCCAAAAACTTGGGTAGCATTGAGAAACAAAAAATACAGTAGTCTGCATGACTATTGGAAATTTGTGTATTTTAATTTACCCAGTTATTCAGTATCATTTGGTATGCAGTCTAATTCTTTGAATATCTAAGTCCTGATTCAGATGGGTAGCCATGTTGGTCTGAAGCAGCAGAACAAAGTTTGAGTTCAGTGGCGCCTTTAAGCCCAACAAAGTTTTGTTCAAGGTATAAGCTTTCATGTGCAAGTACACATCTTCAGATACAGTGAAACAGAATTTGCGCAACCATTACATGTAGGTAGGGTGGGTGTTAGTTGCCAGGAAAGGCTAGTTAGAGCCAAGATGCATAAGTTACTGGGCTATTATAGCTGAGATTGAATTAAGGCAGCTGGTAAGATCTGTGAATAGCAGTAAATTAACATACAAATACAAGAGTTAACAAGCAGATGTGAGAACCAAGTTTGAGTCTAGTGGTACCTGTGCATGGATGGAACTTTGATTAAACAGTGAAGGAGCAGTTAAGTGATGGATGGCATGCACTAGATGGTAACACTAAATAATTTAGGATTCCAAAAGCTGCAACCCTAAGAACACTTTCCTGGGAGTAAATCCCATTGAGGACTTCTGATTAGATCTTACTTTGGTTTGCTCCCAAACGGTGGACAGTTGGTACAGGAGACTGAAATTGAACAAACTTATTGAAACAGGAAATACAAACCATTGTTAATAGTATTAATTTCGGTTAGGCTTTGATATTTAAATACAAATGAATGGCAGGAGTTCAGCTTCTAAAACGTTGCCTTACTTATCATGAATGCATTGGATCATGAATGCATTGGAGGAATAGGCAAGTATGCTGTGTCAGTAGATGAATGTTATGACATATCTTTTGTTATTAGTAATGAAGAGGTTATCAGAATATGGCAGACTTGAAAAGTGGTTTGTTATGTTGGAAATATTTTCTACACTGTATGATTTCAGTGGGGAGTAGGTGTTGAAAAGAGATGTGTATAGAACAGAAATATAAGCAATAATTTTCCTTCCTTTGCACTGCACCTTCAATTTATCTTGCACGTTGTTGTCGTAGCTACTGAAGATGGTTAAACTCTGCTGTTGTAACTGACCATTGTGGTCTCTTTTTATCTGTAGTCTTCGCAATCCCCAGATCATCAGGTACTCTGTTGGCAGTGGAATGGAGCCACAGAGTGAGAGCTTCAAGTCATGCACTGCTGTAGAGTTTAACAGCATTCCCAGCATAGATGTGTCTGTGAACCAAATCGTCAGATTGTTGTAGTAGGTTTTGTCTATTGAATTAGGCAAGACAGTCTTACAGTTACAGATTAGGTTTGCCAAACTGTAATCACAGTCATTGTCGCCAATATCATCAGGACATGTGCAATTACGAATTGTGTTTTCCTTGGTGAAAATTAGAGTGTTGTTTTTTTGGCCCTGTACAAAACAATCCACACAAAAGCCAAAGAAGCCAATAAAAAAGAGATGATGCTTTTGGGCTACCGTCATTTTTACAGGGTTCATAGCTCCTGGAACCTTGCTGCTTTAAAACAGTGACTCTTATCAATGACTGTCACCTACAAAGAATAAAAGTAGCATTATTACCATAGAATAAATTTAGTTTCTAAAATTTTCTACCTCACACATGTTCTGTCTTCTCTATTGCTAGTTTGCATATTAACAGAACCATACTAAGGTTGATGCAGGCTAGGGGCAATAATTGGTTTGGAGACTCTCTTCCAGCAATGGGATTTCAGTTAAGCTTTTGACAGGGTTCCTCATGATGTTCTGATGGGTAAACTGGAGAACGGCGGACTGGACTCTAGGATAGTTCGTGGGATAGGGAACTGGTTGGAGAACCACACCCAAAAAGTAGTTGTCAATGGCATTTCATCTGATTGGAGGGAGGTATCCAGTTGAATGCCACAGGGCTCAGTTCTGGGCCCGGACCTTTTAAATATTTTTATAAATGATCTGGATGAGGGGGTGGAGGGACTATTCATTAAATTTACAGATGACACCAAATTGGGAGGAATAGCAAATACACTAAAAGAGATATAATTCAGTGAGATCTGAACACACTGAAAAAGTGGGCGGATGTGAATAAGATGCAGTTCAACAAGGATAATTGCATCTGGGTAACAAAAACGACAAGCACACATACTGGATGGAGGACACACTTCTGAGGTATGGGTGGACTGTAAGCTAAATATGAGCAGTCAATGTGATGCAGTGGCAGAAAAGACTAATCAGGTCTTGGGGTGCGTCAACAGAAGCATAACATCCAAATTGCAAGATGTCATCATCCTGCTGTACACCATATTGTTCAGGCTGTACCTGAAGTACTGTGTGAAGTTCTGGAGGTCTCACTTCAGAAAATGATGTGGAGAGCAACAAGGATGATCAGGGGCCTGGAGATGAAGCCCTAAGGAAAGTCTTTACAGTAAGACTTGTTCAAGAGTAGAATGAGCTGCCTAGGGAAGTGGTAAGCTCCTCACTGGCAGTCTTTAAGCAGTGGCGGGTCAGACACTTGTCGGGGATGCTCTAGATTGATCCTGCATTGAGCAGGGGGTTGGATTAGATGGCCTGTATGACCCCTTCCAACTCTGTGATTCTATTCTATGATTCAGTTCTCCCTAACCTTCACCATACAGAAACAGTTTCAACCCAGGCTCAAATCCATACTTCTCTATGAAGTCTTTGGAGTTGTCTTGGCAAGTCTCACTTTGCCTTCTGTACAATTGGGAACAGTCATGATCAATGTTCCCTCTAAGCTGTGGAGTCTCGTCAGCAAAAATTCTACTTCGTGAGCTTCTGACATTAAAGTTAGGAGCAAGCGATTTGGCTCCTGCATAAATTAGTTTGCTCCGGAACCACCCTTCCTGAGCAGAGACAAAAATGTGTGAGCTGGAGGCTAAAAAACTGTGAGCTAGCTCACACTAACTCAGCTTAGAGGGAACACTGGTCATGATCTAGCCCATGGAATCCTTTCAAGGACAAATTCTAAGGTTCACAAAACAGATTAAATGTAGTGGTAAGAAATAAACAAGCTTGAAGCAGATCCCCCCTAAAAACACTGCTTCATGTTCAATTGTTTTGTAACTTTTAATGCTGTGGTAAAATAAGTGGTGCACCTTAAATCAATTGATCGAGGATTTCCACAGAGTGCACATTGGAGCCTTATTGGTAATTTAAAATGTTCTTGTCCTGCACCTAGCTTATGAGATGGCTTACAAAATTATAACAAAAACAATGTTTTATGGTTGTCATTGGGTTCTTAGACATTGACATTGATGACGGGATTGGTTACTGAAGCAGCTGCAGGGACTTCTAAAGATCCACAGCCAAGAAGAATTTGACTTTTGAAGTCAAACTGTCAAAAACAATAGCAATAAAGATTCTGCATAAGCACTCCCCCCATCCCCCAGTATCTGGGCTTAAGCATCAGGCCAATGAGTGACTGCTTCAGGGGCACTGCACCACATTGCTATTCAGAGGCAAATCTGTAGTAGACCAACCAGACTCCAGCCCATCTTTTTCAGTGTTATAGTTGAGTGCATGATTTTTGCACAAGGTTGTTGATCAGAACAGTGACCAAGTGAGATTCTCTATAACATCTCCTCCCAAAGAAATAATCACTTTGGATGCCAAAGTGTACTTTGTCACTTTGTCTATATTACTGTCAAAGTGTCTATGTCACTTTGCATGCCAAAGCCAGAGACTGTAGACAGAGATTCAGAAAGTTGCACTTGTCTCCCTCTCATATTTCCTGCACTTTTTAACAAGGGGTATAATTTTTCCCACTGCAGAGCAAAAGGTGATGGTGCATTTGCTGATTCTGAAGTCCATGCATTTTGAGCCGTGCTTTTGTCTCTGCCAGCATGCGTTCAGCAGTTTGAGTAGCCCCATTCTCATGACTCACAGCTGTCCAACAAATGTCCGGGCAAGTACTTCAAAACCAACCTCTGCTGCGCAGAGAACATTTTACTGTTCATGGTGGCTGAAGTATGAAATTAGATGGAAGCAGGGTCATTTATCAGAGTATGCGTTGCTGATAAGGGAATCTCATGCTAAATATGAAGGTGTTTAAACTCCAAACAGAAGCCAGTAAACACCTTGTTCATAACGCAGGGATCCTTCTTTGGTTGGGATTCTCTGCTGTAGATTGCTTTGCATCACAAACTAATGCCAATTACTTTGACTTGGGTTTTCATTTGCCAGAACCAAAAGACTTTGGGGCAATTAAAAGATTCCTAAAGCTGTTTCCAGTGAGTCAGCTCCTAGCTGTAATTTTATGCACTTTTTTAACAAATGAAAAATATGCTGGCTTCTTTTGAAACCCAGAGTTTAATCCCTACCTTTGTGAGTATCTCTTCAATCACATACCAAAGATACCAATAGGAAAACAGTTAATGTTAAACTTCAGAGGTCAAATTCCTGTCAGCTGCAGCTCTTTGGAGGTCAGTGGAGTACTTTAGAAATACATCTGGCCATAAACATCTAAGAACTCAATATGCATTAATGAGCAGATCCACTTACTAACCCACAACACGACGTCTCACAGTGTCTCCTCACTTTGAGCTTGGTTTCCAGGCTCCGAATTAACTAAAGCAAAACATCTACTCTATGGTATTCTGACTGCACTATAAATAGACTAATATATCACTCACACATTACTGAGCTCTGTTTGGATTGGTTTATCTTTTTGCCAACTAACGTGCTGCATGCAGCATTCCCAGATAAGGTTTTAATAATTTAGTTTGAAAAATACCCTCATGCCGAAATCTTCCTGTAAGCATTGTCCCTTCTCTGGTAATGCAGCCCAATAACCTGAGCAGATCTAACAAAAAAGGCCTGAAACATGTAAATGATGACCATCTAATCCTACAATACCTCTATACAAGTACCTGTAACTCTATACAAGTATTACTATTTTACATATTAGGATAAGAAAAACTGTAGTTAAGGGATTTTTATAATACCCATATGGGTATCAACTCCTGGAATTATTTTCCTTTTACATAAACTTGCAAATGCCAGTGGAATGATAGCATTGCCAATGTTTGTTTTAGCAAAACATGTGGTATCATAGCAGCCTGTCACTCCCACTACATGTTTCTGCTCCTACTGGAAGAAAGCATTCTCCAATGAGACTGAAAGAGGTAGGAATTCAAAATTCACAGGATGCAAACAAGGTTGCTGAAATATACTGGGTTCAGATGCGTTCAAGTGATCAGCTCATAGTTTATTAGTGATTCAGCAAGAGAAAGAAGACTGAGAAACCCCTGGCCGAAGCCGGGTATTTATACCTGAAAAAGGTTACACCCAAAACACACCCCACTCCCAACTATAGGCTATTTACACTACATGGTTTCCCAGTTGGGTAACTCTAGGATCCCTGTCACCCTACTGGTCCATTCTAGGATCCTAACAAGCTATTGTTATGCATCCCCAAGCCAAGTCCTTTTGCAAGTACAGTTCAGGCTCAATACATAGCAGTTGCCTTCTCTGGCTTGGAAAGTTCCTGGAGATTTGGGGTCACTGCCTGAGGAAGGTAGGGTTTGGTGAGGGGAGGGAGCTCAGGCAGACCAGGAGGCTGGCAACCTAGATGCAAACGAACATGTCGGTGCGAAAAGTGCCGTCAAGTCACAGCCAAACCCCAGAGGGTTTTCAAGGCAAGTAATTAAGCAGAGGTGGTTTGCCATTGCCTTCCTCTGCAAAGTCTTCCTCAGTGTGAATTGAACTGAGAACGGAGTATTGCTATACTAATCCAACAATATAACAAGATGCATACTAGGTTCTCTGAATTCTCAGCTTTCATTATTTTTTAAAAGTAAGTCTTTTTAAAAGTAAGTATTTTAAAAGTATGTCTTCTTCTTCTTCTTCTTCTTCTTCTTCTTCTTCTTCTGCTTCTGCTTCTTCTGCTTCTTCTGCTTCTTCTTTTTCTTCTTCGTTATGTATTGAAAAACTATGTTAAGCTTGAGTCTGAACCAGGATTATTGTAAATAGATCAATCAGAGCTGCACAATGTTCTGGAGGGAAGCACTCTGGTTGGACCTTATCTGTAAATAGTTATTGGTTGTTAGCTGACATGTGGGCATGGCAACCTAAGCCCGGAATGTTTAAAAGAAAGCCCGTTGCTCTATGTTTTCGTCTGGTTCTGATTTCTTCTGACCTCGTTAATTAAAGCTGATTCACTGTTCACTAGCTGTGTTGAGTCTCGTACTTAAGTGGTTAAGTGTGTGGACTCTAATCTGGGAGAACCATGTTTGATTCCCCACTCCTCCACTTGCACCTGGCTGGATGACCTTAGGCAAGCCATAGTTCTGATAACAGCTGTCCTTGAAAAAGTGCAGTTTCTGTCAGAGCTCTCTCAGCCCCACCTACCTCACAGGGTGTG